CCCGTGCAGGTACAATTTAATGTCATCGTGGGCATCCCATTTCAAGTCTTCCTTTTCCAATGCTAACAAAACTCTCTGGGTTTCCGTTTCCATCCTGGTACTGCTCGCTGCTCTTACAAGTTTCCTCACTGGGCTGTCTCTTCAAAGACCAGCAGACGCAGCGCCTGTAGGGACCGGGGACTCCTGGACTTCAGTGCAGCAACTGCTGTGGCCGTATACAGGACTACAACACAACGGACCACCCCCAGTATAATGAAGGTTCTGACTTTTGTAGCTCTACTTCCAAGTTCCGGAGGGCAGTATGATGAAGCTGAGAGAGAGTATATTTAAGGTTACATGTTTGGGATGGTTTGGCTGTGGGTGCCTTTTGGGAGATGACTTTTTGTTTGTTTGTTTTCTTTTTTTCTGTTTTTTTTTTTCTTAAAGTATGACTTGAAATGGAGACATCCCTTCTTCCCCTTCTCCCCCCCATCTGACAAGTCATCTTTACAAGTACCTAAAGGGGTCTCAGTTCCATTCAGGTTAGCAACTTTGACCACAGCTATCAATAAACATGAGCAAGTGGTCTACCCCCAGGGACTAAAGAAGGTATTTTGCTTTAACAAAGATAAAGCGTTTGTATTTTAGTCACTGAGGCTGTTCCGATGACCTGAATAGAAAAGGATGCAAGACTTGAACTGTAACTTTATTGAAAGCTTTTGATAATAAAGTTTTAAAGGAAAGCATGCCATACTTAAGAGTATGTTAAAACTCGTGTAGCAAGCAGTAGCTGATACACCACGTCAATAAACAGGAAGCTAGCGCTCTCCACTCTATCAATTGCTTCTTTGCTCGCACAGTCCTTAAGCATGTGGTACAGAGTGGAGTGGAATTCGGAATCTTCTTCTAGCTCTTCTGAAAAAGCTTCACTGGTTTCGGTGATCTTGAGCTTTTGTGCTTTCTGACCGTTAAACATGTAGAGAGACCAGTCCTTGACAGAATCTGTCTCGAGATGCTCACTCACCTATTGCAGAAAAAATGTGCTGTAAGATGAAGCCCATAAATTCTAGTATGTTCTGATGTATTTGAGTGTAATGCAGAAACAAAACCAAGGCACTGTTCTGAACCCCTAAAATGGGGCCAAGAGCCTGTGCACCAGGTACTGCATCAACACCAAAATCTTCCATTTCATTTGCCTCTGCAAAACTCAAGGCTCATCTGCTCCTGTGCAGAGAGCAGCTGGGTGCAAACAGGCATCGTTTGTTTCAGTTCTTGCTCCTGGGAGTAAGTATTAGCCTAAATGTTTGCATGCCCCAGGCATTTAACTCAAGAGGGGAAGAGCTGCTCAAGACTTCACTAAGAGGGTAAGTCCAGTATCTGCAGCAATGACTGGAGTAGTTGTCTGTCTCTGAGAGGTTTTAACCACATCCTAGCTCACAGGTGGAAACAGATCAATGCTTAGGTTTACAGTAGGGAACAAATGAAAGCAGCCATGTATGGCCAAGAAAAAACTTCCAGATATTAGCTACAAACCTTGCAGATCAGGTTGCTATTCAGAGCACCCCAACAGGAGGGCACTTCATGAGAATCAGCATCTGGCAGAACCATTCCAGCTTTGGCTAAAGCCTTGATAGCCGACTGATCAGTCACACATCCTAGCACTTGAGCAAGTGTCTGTTACCCAGATGTGTGTCCTGTTAGAGGTATCACAGCTGTATGAGCTGTGAAGCAGCAGAGAAACAGGCTCTGAAGTTTTACTGAACACTTAAGATTTAGGCTTGGCTCCTTAGAACTGATGCACTAAGAGTGTATGTGGGCATTGAAGACAGTGTGTGAGATGATTTTAACTTTACACAAGTTAATTGCTTCACAGAATGGTTTGGGTTGGAAGTGGACCTTTAAAGACCATCCAGTTCCAACCCCCCTGCCATGGGCAGGGACACCTTCCACTAGACCAGGTTGCTCCAAGCCTCATCCAGCCTGGCCTTGGACACTTCCAGGGATGGGGCATCCACAGCTTCTCTAGGCAACCTGTCCCACTGCCTCACCACCCTCACCTCTTTCTGTCCCTTTAACTACACTAACAGTCTGTGCTGGTTTCCTCTAGAAGTTTAGTCTGAACCCACACACCTTGAACACTACTTGCTCTTGACCTGCTTCTAGATTCCACTTGCTCCAGGCAAAAGCAAAAGCAGATGCAACCAATGCCATTTGCTGATAGGCCCGAACTTCTGCTAGGGCAGCCTGCAATCAAGAGTACAAGTTAGGAAACATACTCTTTTTTTTTTTTAAATACATAAAATTCAGTCTAATTCCCTGTGTACAAGCTTCTGCTAACCAGAATTCACTGGCTGAACACTGGTATACTTGCCACTGGATTCTCTACAGCAGAAATGTTACCACAATGAGAAATAGGTGGAAAATGCAACAGGTAAACCAGCCATTCTGGCACTCACCTTCTCGGTCACAGGGACGTACTTGTGAGAGTACTCTCCTGGGAAAATATTCACACCAGCTTTTTTCAAAACAGCTCTTAAGTCAAGTGGGCTTATCCATTTTCCTGTGATGTGGGCAAGCACATCCTTCTCTTCCACCACTACTGAAGACAGCATACACTGATTGCCCTGTTGTACAAACCAGTGAAAGCAGCTTACTGGTCACAAAAGCTTTTATCTGCTTCAGACAATAAATATTAATCTTTCTCCTGTTCTGGACGTTGTGTAAGTCATCGGTCTCCCTGGGCTGTAAACTTTCATTCACCTATCCTGCAGAATGCCACTTCTCTGTAGGATTTCAGAAGTGGTGCTGGCTTACTGGCCTGTGCTTGTGTCCAGACTGACTCCTTTAACACTGTCCTGTATAAACCAGTTCAGTACTAATTGTGTGTAACTTGAACCTTTAGGTGGAATGAGTAGCGTTTCAAGGTTGCTTGAAAAGCTTTTAATTCTCTTAGAGTTAGGAGGGGAGAGGAACCATTTCTAAGCCTGTAGCTGGTAAGAGTCCTGAATTTAGCAAGGTAGTGTCGATATCAAAGCATGTACTGGAGCTGTGCAGAACAGCCCTACATGTGCTTTCTTCTGACCAGTTCACAGAGAGTAACCAAAGGGAAATCACCAGTCGTGTTCCCTACAGTGCTTGGAAAGGAAGAGATCCTCCCCCACTTTTAGAGTGAGATTCAAATTGCTCTTGTGGAAGCAGCCCAAGTTCTTCATAAAGGACGCTCTAATAACTCTGGGTTTTTTGGGTTTTCTTTTTAATCCGCAAATGTTCTATTAAAAACTGTTTACAGTACCTTAATTTGTATGTGAACCGTTGCAAAGCCTGTAGTAACTCTAAGCAGTGCCTCATCCGCAGCAGTAGGTCGCAGTTCCCACGCCTGGTAGGGCATGTTGAGATGAGCATCCTGGAGAAGCGCTATGGGATAAAAGGCACCCATCGCGAAGGTGACGCGCTTTTCCTGGGCTTCGTAGGCTACGCTGCTGATGCCGTCGGTTCTCCACTGTTGGCCTTTACAGGAAAAGACAAAGGTGTGTATGTAAAGCTTCTGCCTGTGAGATGTGCTGGGGAAGAACTGGTTAGTGGAGACATCCTTGGTTAGCTAATAGTCAGAGTTTAGAGAAAATACTAGGCACAAAATACAAAGAATTTATTTAAAGCAAAAACTTCTGTCACTTTATCTGTCTTTAGGTACAAGATTGGGCTAATTCTGCCAGGAAAACTTCTCCTTAATCTGAAAAGAAATATAAATACTAAGGTAACTATCACTTCTTACTTGCTATACAGCAGTCCGCAAGCTCATTTTTAAGATTAACTTCAAACATCAAACTATTTTAATAGGCTCTACTCTCCTTCATGGATGGAGAGGTATGTTGGATTTATCTAATAACTAGAATATCACAGTTTACATATTTTAACGTGGATGCATGTAGTTTGGCTCAGGGCTTCACCCTGGGAAAATCTGGTTTGTGGTACAGCTGTACTACCCACCTCTCTGCCTGGTAAGATCATGGAGCAGATCCTTCTGGAAGCCATGCTAAGGCTCATGGAAAACAAGAAGGTGATTGGTGACAGCCAACACAGCTTCACCAATGGCAGATCGTGCCTGACAAATATGGTGGCCTTCACCAAGGTCGTAAACCCATTGTAGGATAGAGGACGGGCAACTGATGTCATCTACCTGGACTTGCGCAAAGCCTTCGATACTGTCCCACATGACATCCTTGTCTCTAAACTGGAGAGACATGGATTTGATGGATGGACTGCTTGATAAGGAACTGGTTGCATGGTCATAGAGAGTGGTGGTCAATGGCTCAA